AGCCAGCCTTCAGCAATACGTGAACTGTGAACTTCCAGATGTTCAAGATGGTTTTAGAAAAGGCAGAGGAACCAGAGATCAAATTGCCAACATCGGCTGGATTATCAAAAAAGCAAGAGAGTTCCAGAAAACATCTATTTCTGCTTTATTGACTATGCCAAAACCTTTGACTGTGTGGATCGCAATAAACTGTGGAAAATTCTGAAGGAGATGGGCATACCAGACCACCTGACCTGCCTCTTGAGAAACCTGTATGCAGGTCAGGAAGCAACAGTTAGAACTGGACACGGAACAACAGACTGGTTCTAAATAGGAAGAGGAGTACGTCAGGGCTGTATATTGTCACCCTGCTTATTTAACTTATATGCAGAGTACATCATGAGGAACGCTGGGCTGAAGAAGTACAAGCTGGAATCAAGATTGCCAGGAGAAATATCAATAACCTCAGATATGCAGATGACACCACCATATGACAGAACATGAAGAGGAATTAAACAGCCTCTTGATGAAAGTGAAAGAGGAGAGTTAAAAAGTTAGCTTAAAGCTCCACATTCAGAAAACTAAGATCATGGCATCTGGTTCCATCACTTCATGGCAAATAGATGGGGAAACAGTGGAAGCAGTGTCAGACTTTATTTTTTGGGCTCCAAAATCACTGCAGATGGTGACTGCAGCCGTGAAATTAAAAGACGCTTACTCCTTGGAAGGAAAGTTATGACCAACCTAGACAGCATATCAAAAAGCAGAGACATTACTTTGTCAACAAAGGTCCGTCTAGTCAAGGCTATGGTTTTTCCAGTGGTCATGTATGGATGTGAGAGTTGGACTGTGAAGAAAGCTGAGTGCCAAAGAATTGATCCTTTTGAACTGTGTTGTTGTAGAAGATTCTTGATATTCCCTTGGACTGCAAGGAGATCCAACCAGTCCATCCTAAAGGAGATCAGTCCTGGGTGTTCATTGGAAGGACTGATGCTGACGCTGAAACTCGAATACTTTGGCTACCTCATGCGAAGAGTTGACTCATTGGAAAAGACCCTGATGCTGGGAGGGATTTGGGGCCAGAGGAGAAGGGGACGACAGAGGATGAGATGGCTGTATGGCATCACTGACTCGACAGACATGAGTTTGAGTAAACTCCTGGAGTTGGTGATGGAGAGGGAGGCCTGGCATGCTGTGATTCATGGGGTCGCAAAGAGTCATACACGACTGAGCAACTGAACTGAACTGATCATAATTAAGAGACCTTTCAATAGGCCAGCATTCCCCATCTTCCAAAGGATACTGTGGCCATTTAGTATTACAGAAGAAGATCAGGCATTTCTTTTTAAACTCTGGGGATCAAACTTGTCCCAGTTTTTGAAAATACATTTTAAAGGAATGGTTCTGGAACTGCTAGCTCCCATCTATAACAGAGAAAGCAGCTGCATCCACAGCTGTGGCTTCTTCCCACCGGGGGCATCCCTCTCCACTCCAGATTAGACAGACTTTCCACCAAAGCTTTCCTTCCCTGGTAGGACTTAGTCTGTCCCTTACTGACACAGTTACCTTACTCGTCCCTACTGGTTCTACCACTGAGGCGGGGTGGAGATGCACAGGGGTAAGAAAGACCTGATGGCATCCCAGACTGATTTCTAGTTCCTTACCACCAAGACCTTTGTTTGATTTTCCCTTGTCTCTGATGCCACCTGGAGTGTAACAGAGTAGATTTTCAGAATGTTTCCCAAGCTAGGACTATTAGGGGAAGCATCCGTGTTCTATGTGCCTGTGCACATTTCTGAGTACAGTCCTGATCACAATAGAAGAGGTGAGTTATAAAGGGATGAACAACAATCAAGATGTCTGTTCTGAGTGTCACCACACCAGTATATGTGATAGCAAAAGGGTCGGCCAGTGAGGAAAATTTTTTTGTTTCCTTAAGCTACTAGGGCTGATCCTTCCAGTTCATTCCCACAGATTCCACAAAAAGAATGTCTAAGGAGTTGAGACAAAAGCCACCAGAGAGCCTCTTCTGATCCACTAAGAGTTAGCACTACCAAAGGAAGAAGTGCTTCCAATCTGACCAGATCCTACAATTCCTTATCTGTGTCCTCAAAAAGCTCATGGTCACAAGCAATATTTTTATCCACAGATTAGAGGGACAGCTGTGACACAGACTCACTTTCAGGTCACTGGCCCCAGAGGCAGGCAGCCAAGAGAGTGACCTCTAGCCTGAGGGGCGTTCCTGGAGCTAGAGCTGCATCTCACTTCCAAACGTGCTCTTGTAACTTCTGGCTCCTAGCAAGGCCAGGAGCTTCCATACATGGGGTCTAAGTAAAAGTACACAGTAACAGCATGGATCACAAGTCCCTTGAAAGTCTATGATCCAGCAGATTAGGTTAGTAGTTCTAATTTCCCACACAACTATGAAATGGTCTAAGAGACCAGGAAAAGATGACCAAGAAAGGAAAGGTTGTTCCACACGCCTTGCCCATTTCTGGCTGCTCCCCCTGCAGGGACTTTGGGTGTCTCTTGGCATTGGTAGGTCAGTATAAACCCCCAAAAAGGCTCCCCTTTCTGGGGTTGCCTTCAGTCAGAGGCACCATGAAACCACAGAGCAGGGCTCATCACACAGGGCGTTTCATTCATTCACGCAAGCACACCATAGAGTTAGTGAAGTAAAAGGAGAAATGTACACTGAGAAAGCAGAGAGGCTAGAGCTCTTGAGTGTTCTTACCTTGTCCTGAAGATTCCAGACAAGCCCCCAAGATGATAGCTCACAGTGAATGATGTCGGATTTGTGATGTCCAAAGAAGATTTAGCTTTGGAACCAGGGACCAGGTTTGATAACTCAAGAGCTTTTGTATAGCAGAGTTTTATTCAAGTATGAAAAGGGGCAGAGAAAGCTTCTGACATAGACATCAGAAGGCGGACAGAGAGTGCCCCCCGGCACCAGTGTTTTTTATCTGTAATCCTCCAGTGTTTTTTATCTGTAATCCTCCTTACTAACATAGCTAACAAGGCCTATAAAAAGAATCAGCTCACTGTATCAGTAAACTCATACGTTCTACATCATTGGTTTTGATTTCTTCTCTCCAGCTCTTTCTGTGTACATGTCTTCACTGTCCACTTGTGTTATTTCAGTTTCTAAGTGGCACATCTTTGGGCAAATTTCTCCAAACATTTTTTTCTTGTCTTCAGTGACAAAGAAGACTGGCTGTTCATTACCATTAGGATTAAGTCAAATTAACCTCATTTTTCTAACCTTTCATAATTTTACACATCTTCCAAGTTCAAGTTATAACTAGAATCTGAGAAAAGGTTGAATGAAGAGCAAACAAAGTAATCACGTAACAGTTTTTTTTCTGGTGCTCAACTAATTGAATATCTATATATCTATATCTAGGGCTTCCCTGGTAGCTCAGCTGGTAAAGAATCCACCTGTAATGCAGGAGATCCCAGTTCAATTCCTGGGTTGGGAAGATCCCTTGCAGAAGGGATAGGCTATCCAGTCCAGTATTCTTAGTTGGTAAAGAATGTCTGCAATGTGGGAGACCTATATCTACCTTCCAAAGGAAAAAGAAAAAAACACTTTTGGGTGTTTTCCTTCAAATCTCATCCCAGATAAAGGATAAGGAGAAGATGCCAAATCATTAGTCACAGAACAGACTCCCTATTCATTTCCTCTTTTCATTTTCCTAGATGTTAATAGGACAAATAATCTAGGACATCAAACTTAAACTCTTCTTCTATAGAAGATTAATGCAACTGTTGATAAAATTAATCCCATGAGATTCTTTAAGAATTTACATTTTTAATCTACATAATGACAGCATGTTCTTTGCTACTCAGTAAAAACTCTATTTATCTCCACTGGGGACAATAAGATGAGGAAAGATGAGGTTCTGGCAGTCTGGAAGAAGTTTCTTCATGACATAAAACTGAGATGAATCTACTGTGCTGTAGATTCCCTAAATGCTTTTGTGTCCTGTTTCAGTTCTATAGAAACTGAAAAAGTTAGGGCTTTGAGTAATTCTAGTTAGTGTTGTCAAGCTCCACTTCTCCCAGTTCACAATGGCTCATCTTTTCCTTGGGAATGAAGTCAAATAAACTCCCACCTTGAATGAGGTTTTAATAACACTTAATGAGTATAATGAAAGCACATACCATTAGGTATTATGGAATATATAAATTAACCATTCCTGGACCTCATAGAAAGAAGACTTACATCTCATAAATACTATCTATTTTCCCTCAACTTTTTATTCATTCCTTCTCTAGTTGCATCTTGAAACAGACTTTCAACACACTTCAGGCCTGGATTACTATCTGTTTCTCCAACTGCCATCAGTCAGCCCGTAGCTTAACTTTCTTTCAAAATTCCTTTACCATTTCCTATCATATTATATCAAAACTCTTCTGCCTAGCTTTAAAGCTATCATTTGGCTCATCCTTCCCAACCAACTTTATTTTATACTATTTCCCAAAAATCAAGTCTTCTTCCCCTAGGTTAACTGTGAAATTCATTTTCTTTTTCTTAGGGAAAAGCTGAAGAAACAAGGGAAAGAAAAAAAGAAAAGAATGTTACTGAAATCTGTAACAGCAAAACTTTATTTATAATTGCATTTAGGGAATATTTTTAGTGCATGCTGAGAAAACAGTAATATTCCAAACACATAGGTTACTATCTGATGAGGAATATAAGATGATGCTGGAAAAGGCTTTGGCATACACAACAACTGAAACCAGGTTATTAGAACACTTACACTATTAGAACATTGTTATCAGAACACTTACATATCACCTACTTTTATGTCACACCAAATTCACAGACAGTTTATCTTCTAACTTCTTACTGGCTGTTTTGAGTAAATAGCATTCAAGACTATACATTAAGACTGGGGAGTAGGGAAGAAATGCAGAAGTGATAATCATCACAACATTTCAGAGCCTATATATACTAATACAACACTAAGAAACAGTATTCCAATTTTTTTTTTTCTGAAACAGCATTTGGCAATGTTTTAGCGCATGAGAAGACACTGCTTTGGTCCATCCACTCTTTCCAGCTTTTCAAAGTGTTTCCTGGCATTGCGAATATTGATCAGAGTAGCTGCAGAAGCTGAGGATGGGGTAGGGAAGATAGCCAACATAGTTAGTACAAATAGCCAAAGGAATATATTACTAGTAAAAACAAACAAATGAAAGAGAGCCAAATCCCTCAATGTATGTCACAGAGAACCTATGTCCCAAGTTAACCAGAGTTTAATTTTTTTGAGTGAAAGATTTGTTTATATTCTAAACATAATATTTTCAAAATAAATTTTCAAACTCGTTTAGTTTGGGGCTAATAGTAAAACATTATCTTTTTCTATATTCTAATATTAACCTAAGATAGATAATTTAAGAGATAATTTAAATTTCTGGGAATATCCTAGAAATACTGCTAGAACCTTTATTTCAATAGTTGTGATCGATACAGCTATTATGGCATGGAGGCACCACATATCTATCTCTATGCCCAAAATACAAATATGGGAGTACGGTACTTAGAAATATACAATAACATATAACATGGTTCAACAATGAAAAGTTCAGAGCTTAGAGTGACTAGTCCTTTAAAAATATACCCTATGTGGAGCACAACTCATACATTTGAGTTTGTTTTCTTTAAAATCCCCAGATTTAGTAATTTGATTTTTGAAGCTCCCATGAAAAATATAATACCCTAGAGTCTAAATTATTTCTAAGCTTCAAAATATAAATCGATTAAATAAAAATTATTCACCATTAGTACTAATTTATTTTCATTGTGGTAAAATACACATAAAATGAAATTTACCATTTTAACCATTGTTAAATGTATAGGTCAGTGGCACTAAGTACATTCACAGGGTTGTGCACTATAAAATAGTTTTTCAGTATCTTTAATAATGTACAACTTCTAAGGCAATTAGTTTAAAGAATATGTGGCTTTGAATCTATGTCAGCTAAGTTTAAACTTACGAATGGATGGATCCGACATCACGACCATCACATAAGTGTTGGATGTAAAAATGTCAATGAAAGCAGCAAAGTTAGAGTTCCTGACTTCCATGCTCTGGAAAGAGGCAGCTAGCTTGCTATAGGAGAAAGGGGAAAAGTGAGTAAAGGACATAAAGTAATAGTAATATCAGACATTCTTATCTTTCATGTTAACATTTGCATACCATTATATCTCAATCCACCACCTCATTAAGACAGTCACTAATCTCACTTTCTTTTCCCAGGAAACTCTAATGACAAATTTAACATGCCTTGGAAAGTGGCCTTGACAGAAAGCAGATTAGGACTTGATAGTGACTGTGAAATGAAAAGCGGGCTTAGACCTAGATTCGCGTTAAAAATCATGTTGCCGAAGATTTCTCTAATATTTAAGTTTATTCTGTTGAAATTTTCCTATCATTGAGATTAACAACTATACCTTTTGAACGTTAGTTATGTTGAAATTCTAGAAATGACCCCATTTCTGTGAAAACAAAAAGAGTAATAATATTTATATGCCATTTGCAATTTATTCTTTAAAAATGTTGGCATAAACATATCAGAAAGTCTCAAAGTGTGCTAAGGCATAAAAGGGATAACTTACACTTATTCTATTGTCTGAGTATCAAAGTTTTACCATGATAAGAATTTTGATTATTAAAACTTTACTAGATTATGATGTTCAGCTGTTCCTACTTCCTACATTCACAATGCTAAGATTCAAACTAGATTTAAACAAAGCTGAGACAATATGATCAGACATTTTTAGATGCTCTTCTTTGTACCATTCCTGAAATCAGTACCACACTATTTTAATTATCGTAGTTTTATAGTAAATCTTGGTATTTGGTAAGGTAAACCTTCCTTCTTTCTTCTTTTTCAAAACTCTCTTGGACATCGTCTGCTTATTTCTTCCCAAATAGTAACAAACATATTGAAAGGGCACTCACCTTAGATTTTTCTTATGCTTCTTCTGCATCAGTTGAGTTTGCATTAAAGGATATTGTCTTTCACTTCAGTCAAGAAGTTTATAGAGTTGAGCTTTTCTCTTATTTAAAAATCTTTTTTATTTATTTGGGCTGTGTTGGGTCTTCATTGCTGCACAGGCTTTTCTCTAGTTAGGGGAGTGGGGGCTATTCTCTAGTTGCAGTGCACGGGCTTCTCATTGTGGTGGCCTCTCTTGTTGTGGAATATAAGTTTAGTTGCTCTGTGGCCTGTGGGATCTTCCCAGATCAGGGATCGAACCCACATCTCCTGCATTGGCAGGCAGATTCTTTACCACTGAGTCACCAGGGAAGCCCAAGATTTATTTTTAATATAAGGAACTATGCTGAATATAGAAGTGGAGTCTACTAAAGGTATTCGAACCTCTCAAATATGATAATTTTTTCCAGAGATAAATATTGAATACATCACACAAGATCTCTTACCTGCAGCTCAGCTTAAATTGCTTAATAATGTTGCTGATTTTCTCGAATCTGTGGGCATCACGCTGTTCTTTACACTGATAGTGAGAAATCACCTGCAAAAAAGAGCAATGCCTTTTCAATCCATGCCACATTGTCATATCACCCTCTACTACTCCTCAAGCCATTACATCCATCAGTCTCTTAGTCACCCTGATTTTCAGGGTAGAGTTGGCAACTGGCTTTACTGTCTTTATTGATCTGTCCCATATTCTATCAGTATTTTGAATAAATTCATCATCCCTAAGGATGACCCATCCAGTAATGTTTGGTTATTTTATTAGAACATTTAAGTATTATCTATTTTGGTTCACTGCTAGCCTTTCTCACTTACTTAAATATTCATCTTATTTCAATATTTCACAGAATGGTTGTTGATTCAAAAAAGTACAAATCAAAACGGAAAAATAAAAAAAAAACTTAGCTGTTCTTGAGGTGTACTTAATTTTAACGAAGGCTATAACCAAGTGATTTTTGGTATTATATTTAAAAATCTTAACTGATTGATTCTAACCTCTGAGGATGTACTATTTATAAATGAAAAATGAACCTATTCATGATGGACACCAATGCCAGCTGAAAATGCATCCCCTAACACTTTCAGATTAATAAAACCACAAAAATATTTCCCACAGGCTGATGTTAAGTTTCTAGTAGGAAGCAAAACAGAATCATTTGCCAGAAAAAAAATTCACAGGGCAATTCCCTGAAACTATCTGAAATTTCAAAAACATAATTCCTAGACCAATGGTGGAATAGGTTCCTGTTGCTTCCTCAGTGAAAATGGTCAAAACACCTAAACACAGTCCTCAAGAGAAACCAAAAGCCACCTGTTATTGTTGGTGAAAAGCAGAGCTCATATTAAATTAACCTCTATGATCATATGTGGTAGATGTGGCAGGAAAATACCACTAAGCAGGATTCTATAATGTCATGTGTATCAGATAGACAGAAAAGCTCACTTGCTTGCTGCTATTCACACTAGTGGGAAAGACAGGGCTCAGGATAATGAACTTCCAAGCAAGTAACCCCTGCCTATGGGGTGAGGCAGAAGACCCTGGTTAGGTCTCGTTGCCTCAGCTGTATCAGTTAGCAGGAAGAATGACTGCCAAGTATGCTGCCATTAAAAATAATGTTTCTACAAAGTTAAAAGGAAAAACTGCACCTGCATTCTCTGCATTCTGTTGGCTGTAATAGGAAAAGAAACCAATGTTTGACAGTCTGTCAGCTATATGCCGAACTTGTACTAAGATTTAATGTTATCATGTCCTATTTTAAACCACACAAAAATTATGATGTAATTAGTATCTCTATTTTATAAAAGGGGAACCAAACGCAGATTAAAATATGTGTCTATCATACATATGTTGTTTACAAGAGACCCACTTCAGATCTAGGGACACAAAGAGACTAACAGTAAGGGGGTGGAAAAATATATTCCATGCAATTGAAATCAAAAGCAAGTTGGAATAGCAATACTCATATCAGACAAAATAGACTTTAAAATAAAGATTGTTATAATAGACAAAGGAGGACACTACAAAATGATCAAGGGATCACTCCAAGAAGAAGACATAACAATTGTAAATATATATGCACCCAATATAGGAGCACCTCAATATATAAGGCAAATACTAACAGCCATAAAAAGAGAAAGTGACAGTAACACAAAAATATTAGGGGACTTTTAACACCACAATTTCATTAAGGACAGATCATCCAGACAGAAAAATCAATAAGGAAATGCAGGCCTGAAATGACACATTAGACCAGATGAACTTAACTGGTATTTATAGAGCTTTCCATCCAAAAGCAGCTGGACACACATTCTTCCCAAGTGTACATGGAACATTCTCCAGAACTGATCACATGCTGGACCACAAAGTGAGCCCCGCCAGGTAAATTTAATAAAATTGAAGTCATATCAAGCATCTTTTCCCACCACAACACTATGAGGTTAGAAATCAATTACAAGAAAAGAAAACTGTAAAAAACACAAATACATAGAAGCTAAATAATATGCTACTAAACAACCAATGGATCACTGAAGAAATCAAAGAGGAAATAAAAAATACCTAGAGACAAATGAAAATGAAAGCATGATGATTCAAAACCTATGGGACACAACTAAAGAAGTTTTAAGAGGGAAGCTTATGGTGATACAATCTTATCTAGGATACACGAAAAATCTCAAATAAACAACCTAACCTTAGGCCTAAAGCAACTAGAGAAGAAGAATAAAACCCAAAATTTAATAGAAGGAAAGAAATCATAAAGATCAGAACAGAAACAAATGAAATAGAGATGAAGAAAACAACAGAAAAGATCAATGAAACTAAAAGCTGGACCTTTGAAAAGATAAACTTGATAAACCATTAGCCAGACTCATCAAGAAAAAAAGAGAGGACTCAAATAAAATTAGAAATGAAAAAGGAAAAGTTACATACAGCTGATACCGCAGAAATAAAAAGGATTGTGAGAGACTACTACAAGCAAATATATGCCAATAAAATAGAAAATCTGGAAGAAATGGACAGGTTTCAGTACAACCTTCCAAGACTGAACTAGGAAGAAATAGAAAACATAAACAGACTAATCACAAGTAATGAAATTAAAACTGTGATTAAAATCTTCCTACAAACAAAAGTCCAGGACCGGATGGTTTCACAGGTGATTTAGATCGAACATTTAGAGAAGAGCTGACACCTATCACTCTTAAACTCTTCCAAAAAACCACAGAGCGTGGAATATTCCCAAACTCATCCTACAAGGCCACCATCACCCTGACACCAAAACCAGAGAAAGATATCACAAAAAAGGAAAATTACAGGCCAGTAACACTGATGAACACGGAAGCAAAACTCCTCAACAAATACTCTTTCAAGCTGGGAGTTTATTTGATTTCATCCCCTAATGAAAAGATGAGCCATTGTGAACTGGAAGAAATGGAGGTTGACAACACTAACTGCTGCTGCTGCTGCTGCTAAGTCGCTTCAGTCATGTCCGACTCTGTGCGACCCCATAGACGGCAGCCCACCAGCCTCCCCCGTCCCTGGGATTCTCCAGGCAAGAGTACTGGAGTGGGGTGCCATTTCCTTCTCCAATGCATGAAAGTGGAAAGTGAAAGTGAAGTTGCTCAGTCGTGTCCGACTCTTAGTGACCTCATGGACTACAGCCTACCAGGCTCCTCCGTCCATGGGATTTTCCAGGCAAGAGTACTGGAGTGGGGTGCCATTGCCTTCTCCGGACAACACCAACTAGAACTACTCAAAACCCTAACTTTTCAGTTTCCATAGAACTGAAATAGAACACAAAAACATTTAGGGAATCTACAGAATAGTTGACTCATCTCAATTTTCTTTTCTCTGTGTCATAAAGAAACTTCTTCCAGACTGCCAGAACCTCACTTTTCTTCATCTTACTGTCCCCGTAGCAAGTTTTTACTGAGTAGCAAAAAAACAAAGACACAGATGAAAGAAATCAAACATGACACAAACAAATAGAAAGATATACCATGTTCTTGGATTGGAAAAATGAATATTGTCACAATTACTACATTACACAAGGCAATCTACAAATTCAACACAATCCCTATCAAATTACCAATGGCATTTTTCATAGAACCAGAACAAAAGATCTTAAAATTTGTATGGCGACACAAAATTCCCTGAATATCCAAAGCAATCTTGAGTAAGAAAAACAGCTGGATGAATCAGGCTCCTTGACTTCAGACTATACTACAAGGCTACAGTAAATGAAACAGTATGGCACTGGCATGAAAACAAACATATAGATTAATGGAATAGACTAGAAAGCCCAGATGTAAATCCACGACCTATGATGAATTAATCTATAACAAAGGAGGCAAGACTATATAATGAAGAAAAGACAATCTCTTCAATAAATGGTGCTGGAAAAACCAGACAGCTACATTTGAAAAATTAAATTACAACATTCTTTAACACCATACACACAAAAACTCAAAATGGATTAATGACCTAAATGTTAGACTGGACAGTATATAAGACTCTTGAGAAGAAAACATAGGCAGAACACTTTGATATAAATTGCCTCAATATCTTTTTCAATCCGTCTCCTAGACTAATAGAAATTAAACACAAACAAATAGGATTTAATTAAACTGAAAAGCCTTGCACAGCAAAGGAAACCATAAAGAAAGCAAAAAGACAACTCACAATATGGGAGAAAATATTTGTAAACTATGCAGCTGACAACAGATTAATCTCCAGGCTTACAAACAGCTCATGTGGTTCTCAATATCAAAAAAAAAAAAAACAAGCAACACATTCAAAAAACGGGCAGAAGACCTAAATAGATATTTCTCCAAAGACATACAGATGGCCAAGAGACACATGAAAAATGCTCAACATCACTAATTATTAGAGAAATGCAAATCAAAACTATAATGAGATGTCACCTCAAACCAGTCAGAATGGCCATCATGAAAAAATCTACAAACAATAAATGCTGAAGAGGGTGTGGAGAAAAGGGAACTCTCCTACACTGTTGGTAAGAATTTAAGTTGGTACAGCCACTATGGAAAACAGTATGGAGCTTCTTTAAAAAACTAAAGCATGGTTGTCATGTGATCCAGCAATACCACTCCTTGGCATATATCTCAATAAAAGTATAATTCAAAACTATACATGCATCCCTATGTTCACAGGAGCACTATTCACAATAGCTAAGACATGGAAACGGCCTAACCACCCACTGACATTGAATGGATAAAGATGTGGTACATAAATACAATTGAATATTACTCAGCCATAAAAAAGAATGAAATAATGCCATTTGCAGCAACATAGGTGGACCTAGAGATTATCATATTAAGTGAATAAGTGAAGTAAGCCAGAAAGAGAAAGACAAATATCATATGATATCATTCATATATGGAATCTGAGAGAAATGATACAAATGAACTTGTTTGCAAGATAGAAACAGACTCACAGACTTAGAGAACAAACATGTGATTGCCAGGGTGGACAGGTGGGTGTAAGGATAGATTGGGAGTCTGAGATTGACACATAGATAGATGCTGCTATATTTTAGAACAGATGGCCAATGGGGACCTACTGTACAGCACAGGGAACTCTGCTCAATATTCTGTAATAACCTAAATGAGAAAAGAACTTTAAAAAAGAATAGATCCATGTATATGTAAAAAAAGAAAAGAAATGTGTCTAAAATCACCAAGCTTTGGTAGAGCTCAGAAACAAATTATTTACTGTGAGCTACTCTTAGGGTTATATTTATGCAGCTGATCGGCAAGTACTTATGCAGTTCTTGTAACATGTCAAATGAGTTTTTATTACTGTTATTAAACATTTCACTTATAAATATAACATTGGGTTTTTCATATTCCCTCACAGCCATATACACAGTAGGAGACAATATTATTAAGTTAAATTTATAAGAAAAATAATGCCAACATACCTCTTTGCCCTTTCACCTCACCATCTGAACTCTTATCTATGTCACTGAGGTGACCATTACATCTCCTCCATGTTAAAAGTTTTAAACTGTTTTTGGAGAAAGGGGTGTGATATAAGTTTTCTCAAAGGAAAATACCTATTGTTTCATAATAGAAGTCAATGGGAAATAGGAATTATTTAAGACAAATGGACAATTATTAACAAAACAATCTAAATTATATAGTAACAAATACCTGCAAATGTCTAAGTGCTACTAATTAGTAAAGACCAACACACAAAAGAACTTCTTTCAAGTTACTTGCTGACAATACTACTTCATAAATAAAGCTATGTATGCTGAAGTAATGACAAGAAGGAAAACGAGTCTTTCTGAAAGTGGCAACATATTCTCCATTGCTGAACAGAAAAAGGTGAGTGTGAAATACATATGTACAGCAGAAAGTTCTCACCAGAAAAGTGGCTCTCTCAAATAGAAGTACTTCATCAGCTTCGATAATTTCAGCAAAATTCCTTAGGTTCATTTCCAGCTGCTGGACATTGGGGATCAGCTGATAAACAATGCTGGACCAAGCCTAACAGAACAGAAGCACAGTGCAATGTTACTAACTGGTAAACAGGCCCAGATCTTTGCAAATGTGTAAGTATACTATGGGCTTCCCTGGTGGAAGTATACTACAATATATAGATAGGAAAATATAGTGATAATTGAGTCTTAAACAAATTCTAGTAACAAATATAACACAAATGAAGTGAGAAAATGAAACTAATATTTTATTTCTGTTGTTCAGTTAGATTTTTAAAAGTTTCAAACACTTATGAAATGCTTCTTTCCACTGATAGTTAGAAATCAACAAATACTTTAGTTCCATCATATTGCCTTAGGGAAAGCTAAAAACTCTGATTTACTTGGCTAAAGAACTTCTAATCCAGTCATTCAAATAGATATCTAAGACCAATAGTGTAGATTGCTAAGATCAGAACCCAATATTTACATACATCCAATAATCAATTTAGTGTAAACACCAGAGCCACATAGAAAAATGGCCCCTCCCCTCAATGGGATAACATACAAGAGAAATTACAAGAGAAAATAGTGGCACTATTTGTAAAGGCTTATTGTCAACTGTATAAATTATTGATCTAATCAAATTAAAAATGGTCCACTGTGTGTTTGCCTAAAACTGATTTCATCCAGAGGAGTATGACTATAATAGGAATTTAAATTAATCACACTCTCCCTCTATTTTCCTAAGGCTCTTTTATTTGAATTTTCATTATAATATTTCTTTAAATATCATTCCAATTTGTCTGGTAGGGTGTATAATCTTCTCTTCCCCTACTAGAGCACAGGAACCTGGTCTGAGTTATTTGTGTGTCCAACAGTATCAAGCAGATATGCAATGAGTGCTTGTAGAATAAAACTTAATAAATATAAAAATTTATGTCAGCTCTATGTAACATTGTTGTAAGAGATGTAAGAGCCATGTTTCTGTTCCAATTAGTTTTATTACTTAGGCATGGGGGTTCAGGTTCCAAGTTCCCAGGTCGGTGTTAATGTCACTGCTGAATTTACCTTGGAGAAGGCACCAAAGCTAACCACAGCAGAGACATTGTCACTCACAGCAGTGTTGTGATTAGCCAATTGTCTTTGGTCGTGTTATGTATTGCCATCCTTCACACCGCAGTTGGTTCTTATCAGTGCGTCATGTCCATCCTTATTCACGGTTACCTGTTCTATGGGAATAAGGCTTTGAGAGAAATTCGGCCCAAATTAATCTAGAACAGTATTTCCTAGACAGGTATCTCAAAATGATCTGTTATTAGAGTGAGGCTGGGTCAACATAATATTGGGAAAAATTAATTAGTTAAAAAAAATCAGTGGTTATGTTTTAAAGTCCAACTGTTTTTCTCCTTGGCAAATCAGGTTTCTGTGCTTTTGGTTGAAGATACTTGTCAGATGCAGTTGATACTGAGGCTGTAGCTATGAGTCACTAAGAAGGATGCTTTCCTACCCAGATTTGTCAATGAATATCAGAAACAGTCTGAAGGAAAGGTCTGACCACAGGAAGACCCAAAAGAAGCCAGTCTTTCAAATCACTAAATCACTGGGAGAAAGGGAGAAAGCAGGATAAGGAGCCTATGTGCCAATGAGGTAATTTCAACTTCATCCATAACACAGCTATTATTGTAACCTTTACAACTACTACAAGCAGTGTGATATCCGTCCCAGCAATAGGAACAATTTCTTTGGTTGAAAGAATGCTAGTCTTTAATTTTGCATGAAAGTTGCAGCTATCATATTCTTGGAATAACACGTCTCATTCTAAGACTCCCTTCTGCAATTTCTCCCCTAAATACTGTTCTTCTATTGCCATCCAAACTTAGATAGACTAGCTTATATCCTATAGAGGTACCTGAATACTAGATACACTTCCAATCAGCATTGAGACCAAAACAGGTCAAAATGGATGATGGCCAGTGAAACCTCTACTGTCATGAAGATCTGCATCAAATTAACCAGGACCAAACTGGGCTAATTAGGTGTGATCTGGTAGGTATGTCGACCCAACCTAAAATCAAACCCAAAATCTCTTAAGGTTAAGTTGGATACTTTTCAATTTATTGTAGATAATTTCTTCTTTTAGTTCAACACATCTAGATTGCTATGAAAGACTCTAAAATCTTTTAGTTTTGATAATACCCTCTAGCTTTTTTTTTTCATGCTCTTTAAACTCAGGGAAACATACACACCTTATAGAGAGTTTCATCCCAGATAGATGTTCGGAAGCAAGAGCATTCCAATGGGCGAGACAAACGCCTCAGATCTTCTTCTCGCTCTTTAAAAATCTGAAGTAAAAAGACCAATATACTGATCAACATATAACAGCTCTCCTCTCTCACTGCAAAATCTGAGGTGTAATATTTTAAAATATTTTAAACAGAGGTATTTCATTTTCCCCCAGAGGAATTTTTAAATGTGTACCTTGCTTCACAGACTAGGATGGCAGAAATGATTTCAGGTCAGGTCTAAAAAGTGCAACAGCTACTAGAATTCTTCAGAAATGTGCTGCTTATTCTGAGTACTCACTGAGAGTACTATGTTGGAAAATAAAATTCACCATATAGAGAAATCTTAATAAAATATATCTAACATTTCAAATCACCCAATCTGGGTCACTTTTAAGATATCCATACCAATATCAAGATTTTATAAATCAAAATACTTAAGCTTGTATAGATATGTTTCTCTCTCATACACACATGCATACATTCATACATATTATTTCTGTACAGGCTGTATTTATTTGCCTACATAGATATAACAACTAACTACACACAAATATATATATATATATACACACACACACACCCATATGCACATGGAAAAGCATTTATTTATACAAATATAAATAGATACACAGATATTTTCCAGAGCTTGCATGAGTGTATGTTCAACATTGTGGTAGATAATTTTATATTACCAATTTGACTAGGCCACAGGACCCACACATTTGGTTAAACACCAATTTAGATGTTGCTATGAAGATATTTTTGATGAGATTAATACTTAAATCAATAGACTTCTAGTAAAGCAGATCCCCCTCCATAATATGAGTAGGCTTTATATAATTGGTTGAAGGCCTTAAGAGAAAAAGACTCCCATTTCCCAGGAAGGGGGAATTCTGCCTTCCAGACTGCCTTCTGACCCAAACTTCAACACTGACTCTTTCCTGGGTTATCAGCCTGCCTGTAGATATCAGACTTGCCAGCCTCTGCAATCATGAGTCAATTCCTTAAAATTAATTCAATCTCTCTCTTATTCTCACATATTTCTTATTTGTTCTCTTTCTCTGAGGAACCGGAGTAATACACACACATATAAGGAAACACTTTATTTTGCTTGAAATTGCTATTCACACAACACCCTAGCCATTTTACTCTAAAACTTCCAAGTCTGAATCTTTAATGAAAGAGTATACTTCTATTAATTAAGCTTAAAATCCCACAAAGAACATTAATGTATCTTTGGGGATATTTACATAAGTATTTAGAAAACATTAAGTTGATCACTAAAAATTATAAGTATTTTAAAAATCCATTGGAATGATCTAGGATTTTCTGTGTAAATTGGGCCAGGGAAACAAAACAGAAAACTCTAAAATAACAAACCCTCACAATCTCAAGGCCAAGCTACATACAGAATTTTCAGCTGAATTAAGACAAAATTGATACTTAGTCAGAGGGAAAAGGAATTAGAAAGGATAGACACTCCAAAGTCCTTTTCAGAGTCAAATATTGAACTGTCTGTCAAGTTGTTTCTGAAAATCTGGAAGTTAACCCAGAAACAAGAAAACATATGCAAATACTGGAACACTGAAGGCAATCATATAACTAATTATGGAAAAAGTATTCTTGACCACAGTTATTACCAAAAAAATTCTTAAGCTAAAGGGGATCCTTAGACTCCTAGGTTCCAACTCAAAGAGGAAGCATATTCTTCTATATCACCAGTATATTTTGAAACTGCTTTCCTCAACTTTATTTACTCTTGGAAATAGAGAATCTTCTCTTTCAGCTTAGACTTTAAAATCCAATCTTCTCATTTTATATTGAGTAAACTAAAGCTAGACTGTGTTTGTGACTTGCCAGTCCTAGGGTCTCATAGCTAGCTAGGAGTTTGCCCTTCCTACTGTGTCTTTTCTGGTTTAATCTTTGTGTACTAATTCCCCTGGTAGAAAAGAAGACAAATATACCATATCAGTGCAATTATGAGGTCTTGGAATTGCGCCTAACACTGTGTAATTGGCATTTGAATTGGTGCATACCAATTTCCTAGGTCAATCTAGAAACAGCTGTGACCTTTCTTCATCTCAACCCTGGTGGGCCTTCTAGCCTTGACAATAACTGCCTGCTCTGAAGGACAGTAAATCAAGGGCAGCGAATATATTTTAAATATATATAAAGCTGCTTAGTGATATCATGTGGTTAGGATCCTTTCCTAAATTTGAACATTATTTGTTAAATGAACATTATCTTTCCCTTACCAGAGAAGGTTTGTTTAAAACAGATATCAATTTTATTTTGAAAGCCTACACTGAGATTTTCTTTTTCCCTAAAAATGAATGATACAAATTTACCTATATCTCTACAAAAGAAGTTTACAAAGCACATCAATCATGTGGTGCATCATCCTTTCTACTTACCAGGTCTCGTTGATCCTCCTGTACCAGATCCATTTTGTGTACCAAGCAAAAGATTTTGGCATCTGGAGAATTCTGCAGAATGGCCTCCAGGCATGATTGGTAATAGTGCATGTCCTTTTCCAGTTCGCGGCTTTCCACATCAAAGACATAAATCAAAACCTCCACATTCCGGAATATGTTGTCTCGTTGGCTAGTAAAATAATTTTCCATGAAGGTATCCTGTCTAGGAGGTAAAAGAAAATCTAGGTAGTAAGCAAATATCACTTAATCACTCCTATTTATGATCTCTTTTTGTTGGCTTAATCAGTGTGAAAGATAATGCTAACATTTCTAATTAAAAGGCAAATGATAATAATAAATCAGGATGGGCTCACTTTCTTACTTATTAGGCCACAGCTTGCACCACATTTTGCCCCCTTCCTTGTGTTCCAAATACTTTTGACCTTCTGATAGTTCTAGAGGCCCATGGTCTATCCACCATGCTGTTCACTGTCTCACATGTCTCATACTTTTACACCTAATTAATGGCTACTTTTTGCACTGGATTTCAGTATAATCCATACTTCCTCACAGAAACCATCCCTGCCCTCACTGATTTGGGCAAATCCAGTCACCACAGACCCTTATACCAACACACCAGTCTTATTTGTAACACTCACCACAAGTGTGATATCACACATATTTGTGTGAGTTTCTAATTAATGGCATTCAATTCCCTAGACAGCAGGCTCCATGAAAGCAAGAACTATGGCCATTACTATTCAACACTGTTTCCCAGCTTTTAGCACAGAGCTTAGCACAGAACAACTGCCACAGAGTAGTTGTTCAATGAATATTTACTGAATGAATAACTAGTCAAACACTCTGAACTATATGAAAATGGCTCCAAGCTAACTTTTTAGTAGATTTTGCTCTTTGCTTCTTAGGCTATATGCAGCTTTCCAAGAAATTCTCAATTACCAGCTACTAGTAGAAAGCAGTAGTGTTTTGCCCTGAACAAAAAAGTCAAGGGGTGGTATCAACATGGTAGAATGAAAAGCTACCTTTGTCTCTCCCCTTTAATCTACAACCAGTAAAACATTCACAACTCAGCAAAGGTGTTTTTTCCCAACACACCAGGATGCTAGAGAATTCCACACACCTGCACCTCTAAAGATGGATGGACTGGAATAGATAAAGTAGGCAGAACCTAAGAAATAGTAAAAGTATTACCTACAGTTTTGACCTTCTGACCAGGGCAGTTAAGCCCGCAGACCCATATAACCTGGCAGCAGCAGGGTAGGCAGTGCACACAACTCCAGCCTCCTGGCTGCAGTGACACCCATGACCACAAGTAACTGTACAGTAGTGGGAATGGGGGCTGGGGCCCTGTGTCTCCAGCCACTGAGGTTCCTAAGTCTCCAGCCCCTCTGTTCTTCCCCAGTAGCAGCAGAGCCTATGAACCTTAGAAAACCAGATAGGGAAGAGGTACTGGTATGAACTTGGCTCTCCCTACCCCTGCCCCCTGCAGTGGCAGAGCCTATGAATCAGAGGATACTGGAAGCAAGGGAATAACCACCATCCAGTACACCAAGAAGCTTCTGCCAGTTAAACAGGCAGAAGCAAGGTGCCAATGAATCTGAAAACACAAGAAGTGATAATGAGCACAAGAGCAGGGGACACATTTCTGACAGAGATAGCTCAGGTAAGAGAAACCAAAAACTTATGCTAAAGTGCCAGCTATGGAAAAAGAAAAGACTTCTAATTTCTAACCAGTTCCATATCACATGCTCTGTCAGAAGAAGCATCAGGAAGAACCACAGCAGTCACACTGCACCACAAAAAGAAAATGACAATTCTCAAGAAATCAAACATAAAGTCAAATAATGTGATCTAACTGACAGAGAATTTAAAATAGCTATCAAGAAGAAACTCAACAAGCTACAAAAACTCAGAAAGGCACTTCAATGAACTTAGGAATAAAACTAATAAACAGAAATGCTTTACCAAAAAGATTGAAACTTTAAGAAAGAACTAAACAAATTCTGGAGCTGAAAACTTATAATAAATGAGATGAAGAATGCATTAAAAAGCACTGGAAATGAAGCAGACCATATGAAAGAGAGAATTAGCAAGTATGAACAAAGAAATCTAAGATGCAAAACAATGAGGAAAGAGCTATCTGACTCTTCTAGGTAGGGCAACATTAGGATAGTGGACATCCCAGAGGGAGAAGGGAGCAGAGTTTACAAAAGCTGAGGGAGTTTATCAACACTAGAGCTGCCTTATGAGAGATGCTGAACAGAGTTCTTATACCAGAAACAAAAAGACAAAAGTACACAAAACTTGGCATAAATAAAGTGATAAATGGGTTTCCTCAATGGCTCAGTGGTAAAGAATCCACTTGCATTGCAGAAGACATGGGTTTGATCTGTGGGTCAGGAAGATCCCCTGAAAAAGGTAACCCACTCCAGGATTTTTGCCTAAAAAATCTCATGGACAGAGGAGCCTGGAGGGCTACAGTCCAAAGGTTATAAAGAGTTGGACACGAATCATCATGAGCATGAGAAGGTGACAGAATCAGAAAACTGCAACTGTCAGAACAGGTTTTTAAATGCTTTATTATAGCATAAAGGTTAAAAGGGGAGAAAATGCAAAAAAAATAACTATAGCTACTTTAAGTTGGTAACAAACTCACAATATAAAAAGGGGAAGTTTGAGACAATAAAAACACAAAAGAGGAAGAGGAAAACCATGTAGTTAAATGAAGATAAGATGCTATTAACAGAAAAAGGACAATTTATCTATGTGATATTTGATATACACTTCATGGTAACTGTAAGACATAGATCTAAAATGGAGACACAAAACATACAAAAAGAGGAAACTGAGGAAAATATCATAGAAAACTACCAACCAAAAATAGCAGACAGAAACACAAGGAAAATAAACAATAAAAACATTGAGCAACTAGAAAACAGAAGATAAAATGGCAGTACTAAGTCCTCATCCATCAATAATCACCCAAAATGTAAGTGAACTGAATTTATATCAAAAGACACAGAGCAGCTGGATGGGTTATAAAGTAAGACCCATATTAAAAAATCAGAAACAAAAGATACAATAAAAATACAAAGGATGAGAATAACAAAAGATACCACAGAAATACAAAGGATTGTAAGAGAATATTCCAACAAATTGGACAACCTAGAAAAAAATGGACACGATCTTAGAATCATAAAACCTTCTAAGACTGAACCATGAAGAAACAGACAATTTGAATAGGCTGACCACTAGTACAGAGGTTGAAACAGTAATAAAAAACCTACCAAAAAACAAAAGTCCAGGACCAGATGGTTTCAGATGAATTCCACCAAACATTCAAGGAAGATTTAATAACTACCCTTCTCAAACTACTCTAATAAATTGAAGAGAAGGGAACACTTCCTATCTCATTTTATGAAGCCAATATCACCCTAATACCAAATCAGACGAAGCCAACACACACAAAAGGAAAATTACAAGCCAGTATCTCTGATGCACATGGATGCAAAAATCATCAACAAAATAACAGCAAACCAAATACAATACATTAAAAGGATCATGCACCATAATCAGTGGGATTTACTCTAGGGATACATGGATGTTTCAACATCTGCAAATCAATCCATGTGATATACTACATTCATAAAATGAAGTATAAAAATCATATGATTACCTCAGTAACTGCAGAGAAAGCATTTGACAAAATTCAACATACATTTATGATAAAACTCAATAAAGTAGGTATAAAAGGAAGCACCTCAACATAATAAAAGATGTATATGATAAACCCACAGCTAACATCATACTCATTGGTGAAAAATTGAGAGCTATTCTCTAAAATCTGGAACAAGACAAGAATGTCCACCATAGCCATTTTTATTCAACACAGTATTGGAAATCCTAGCCAGAGCAATTAGGTAAGAAAAGGAAACAAAAGATATATAAATTGGAAAGGAAGAAGTAAAACTGATTTGTAGATGACATGATTTTGTATAAAATCCTAAAGTCTCCACCAAAAAAATAATAAAAATAATAAACAAATACAGTAAAGTTGAAGGATACAAAATCAATATACAAATACCTGTTGTGTTTCTATACACTAATAATGAGATAGAGAGATTAAGTAAACAATCCCATTTATAACTACAACAAAAAGAATATCAAGAAGGTAAAAGAACCGTACATTGAAATCTATAAATCGCTGATAAAAAAAGAACTGAAGAAACAAATAAATGGGAAGATATTGTGTGCTCTTGGATTAGAAGAATATTGTTAAAATGTCTCTATAATGCAAAGTAATATACAAAATGAATATAATCCCTATTAAAATTCCAACAACATTTTTATAGGAATAGAAGAAATAATCCTAAAATTTGTATAGAATTACAAAAGACCCAAATAGTGAAAGTAATTCTGAATAAAAGAACAAAGCTGGAGATATAACACTCCCTGATTTCAAAATAGTACAAAGCCACAGTAATCAAAGCTGCATGGTATTAGCAGAAAAATAGATACAGATCAAGGAGCAGAACTGAGAGTCTAGAAATCTATGCATATACAGAAATTAATTTATGGCAAAGAAGCAAAGAATATGCAATGAACAAAGTATAGTCTCTTCAATAAATGGTGTTGGAAAAAATGAAGAGCAGCATGCAAAGAAAAAAGAAACTTGATCAATCTCACACCATACAGAAATGAAATGAAACTAATCTCATACCATACAGAAAAACTAACTGAAAATGGAAATGGTCTAAAGACTTCAACACAGTATTTGAAGCCATAAAACTCCTAGAAGAAAACTTAGGCAGTATGGTATTTGATATCAGTCTTAGCAATATTTTTCTAGATATGTCTCCTTAGGTAAGGGAAACAGAAATAAAAATAAACAAATGGAACTACAACAAACTAAAACACTTCTCCACAGCAAAAGAAACTAACAACAGAACAAACAGACAACCGACTGAATGGGAAAACACATTCAAATCATACATCTGATAATGTGCTAATATCTAAAATATATAAATAATTCATATAAACTCATCATCATCATCAACAACAACAACAAAACAATCTGATTAGAAAATGGGCAGAGCAGCTGAACAGACATTTTTCCAAATGTATGCAAATGGTTAACAGGAGCATGAAAAGATGTTCAATGTCACTGATTACTAGGGAAATGTAAATATAAACCACAATAATCATCTAAGGCCTGTTACATTGGCTATTAACAAAAAGGCAGAAATAACAAGTGGATAAATAACAAGTGGAAAAGGGGGAACATTTATGAGCTCTTTGTGGGAATGTATGTTGGTGCAGCCAGTATGGAAGAAATATGTTGTTGCTGTTGTTCAGTTGCCAAATTGTGTCAGACTCTTTGTGACTCCATGGATTGTAGCACAAGAAGCTCCTCTGTCCTCCACTATCCCCTGGAGTTTGCTCAAATTCATGCCTGTTGAGTTGGTGATGCTATCTAACCATCTTTCCCAGCATCAAGGCCTTTTCAATGAATTGACTCTTTGTATCAGGTGGCCAAATTATTGGAGCTTCAGCTTCAGCATCAGTCTCTTCAATGAATATTCAGGTTGATTTCCTTTAGGAATGACTGGCTTGATCTCCTTGCTTTACAAGGGGCTCTCAAGATCTTTCTTTTATACTTCTTTGTATTCTTGCCACCTCTTCTTCATCTCTTCTCCTTCTGTTAGGTCCTTACTGTTTCTGTCCTTTATTGTGGATTCTCATGATAAAGGAAGAAATATGGAGAGTCCTCAAAAAATCAAGACTACAACTATCAGCTATCTCACTTCTGGATATTTATTCAAAGAATATGAAAACACTAACTTGAAAAGAAACATGCACCCTATGTTCACTGTGGCATTATTTGTAATAGATAAGATATGGAAACCACCTAAGTGTCGATCAACAGATGAATAGATTAAAAAGGTGTCATATCTATATACAATGGGCTACTATTCAACCATAAAAAAGATGAAAACTTGACATATGAACAACACGGGTAGATCTTGTGGATATTATTTTAAGTGAAATAAGTCAGATGGACAAACACCATATGATCTTACTCATCATATAAAAAATAATAAATTTACAGATCAAACTAAAAAAACAAACACATAGATATAGAAAACAGAGTAGTGATTATTGGAAGGAAAGGGGCAGGGGGTGGGTGGAAAGGATACAGGGGGTAAACTGTATGGAGAGAAACTAGATTTTGGGTTGCGAGCATGCTGTAGGGTATACAGAAGTAGAAATACAATGTTGTACACATGAAATCTATATGATAGTAAAAACCAATGTTACCTCAACAAAAATTAAATCTTAAAAAAAAACAAAAATGAAACAACTATATAAATAAAGAAGAAAAGAAAAAAGATATGTACTACGAAAGCTTTTGTCATAGCCACCAAATACTGTGTATATTAATCTAGTATGGTGTAACTTTCAATGCTTTTCTTACTGTGTGATACACAGAAGGTGATCAATAGGTATTTGCTGAGTGAATGTTGAATAGATTTCTAGAAAATAAGAATAATCATTGAATTGGGGTGGGGGTTTCTGGTAAATTTAACTTCCTAAATTTCTGGAGGCTATTCTGAAAATCTATGTTTTTTCTTTCCTAAAGGAAAGAATCTAGCATGAAACCTGGCATATGGCATGCTCTCAATAAATAGCAGTTCCTTTACAAGAAATCGGGAATGCAGCTTCTAGTCCTACACTCTGCTCTCAAGTTGCTATGTGACCTTGGGAGATTCATGATCTCACTGGACCTCAGCTGCCTTATCTGTAAAAATGACAATAACATGTTAGTAACTAAAAGCAAAGGACTTGGACTAATCTCTTGATACAGATTACAGAATTGAAAGCCATGATACTGAAGAAGGATTTACATGGAGAAAGCTACTAGTGTATTAAGTGATCCACCTGTTAGCAATAATGAAGTTATTTTCTGATTTGTTATTCTTTCACCAAATACTCATTGAGCACCTATTCTCTAATTGGCTCTATACTAGGAGCTAGGAGACACTGAGCTAATTATAACATTTCTTTACTTTCTTTACTTATATATATATATATATATATATAAAATTTCAATCATCAAAACTCTATGGGTTGGTACCATCATTATTCCTATTATACAGATGAAAAACCTGTAGCTCAGAGTGTTTAAATGATCTATCCAAGATAACACAGCTAACAGAGCTGAGATACAAACCCTAATTTAATTCCACAGCTTAAGGGCTCCTAATTATTGTGCACTATATATTGCTACTGTAGCATAGAGATGCAAGAATAGAAAGCACACCATATGGAAGGGAGCTCCATATGCACAGTGAATGTGTATTTGTGATGGGATATTCTGGAAGTGTGTTGGACACAAGAGGAAAAACTGTCTCCTATTCCTCCAATAGTGGGGAACTCAGCTGGAGAACGGAGGTCTAAATAACTGCTTAGATTGCCTGGAGATAAAATACCAAAGAATGAGATGATATGGTGTGATGGCTAAGAGCTCAGCATTGGTGTTAGGCTGCTTGAGACAGAAACCTAATTTCTTCATCTGAAACAGAGAAGGATGATTGATCCCATACCATAGATACTTAGATATAGCTTGTGTGAGTACTGCTTAAACATGTCAAATATAGAGGGTATTTTCACAATAATAGAAAAATCAGATATCTTCATTCAATGAAGTGCCAATTCTGAAGTAATTTTATCTAATTTATCTATTACAAATGATAGTTACTCTAGTATATTTGCTGTGTCCATGGGGTTGCAAAGAGTCAGACATAATTTAGTGACTGAACAGCAGCAATAGCATTCTCTGTGCTGATTATACTAGATGCCATGATTATTGTCATTGACTTTATGAAGAATTAAGCAGATGGTACTTACCCACCACAGTCCCACAGGTTCAATACCAGGTTTCCCAGAAATCGAACATGAGAATGTTCTACATCAACTGGAAAACAAATATGACAAATCTAGTAATTGTAGCATGCAAGATGAAATTCAACATAAAGCACTAACCCATAGAATTTAGAAGGACCAAAGGAGTGAAATGCTCAAAGCTACAACAAGAAGGTGATTTTCAGCTTAGCAGTGTGGTTTAGTGGCAAGGTGGGCACCTAAACTATCCTGAGCTACAGAAATGGCTTTCATGTAAGTCAATATATTTTAGTAGTTTTAGTGCTTAGAGCAGAAACAATCTCCAATTATAATACTGTTAAAATTTCAACATGTAAGACAAAGACATATACCATTTAATAGCTCTTTTCTGACCTATCAATACATTCCACAAAAAATTTAAAATTAAAAAGGACAACAAAAACCAAATATAAATGAACATAAAACATAACCAAACTCACTCCCTCTACTGATTTGCTTATTTTGATTAAGGACCCTATCATTTTCCCATTTTGAGGGGGTCATTTTTGACTCCTCTGTCCACATTCAATTCATTGCTATTCCCAATTCCATTCTTTGTTTCACTATCTGCTACTAATATTAGGGAAGGCTCTTACCTTCTCAAGTCTATATAGCTACAGTAGCTCCATAATTACCTCCCACCAGGAGGCCTTGGGGGCTTCCCCGATGGCTCAAACAGTAAAGAATCTGCCTGCACTGCAAGTAACACAGGAGATGAGGGTTTGATTCCTGGGTCAGGAAGATTCTCTGGAGGAGGAATGGCAACCCACTCCAGCATTCTTGCCTAGAAAATCCCAAGGACAGAGGAGCCTGGTGGGCTACAGTCCATAGGGTCGCAAAGAGTTGGATACGACTGAGCATGCACATGCTCAGCCTCAGGAAGCCTTACTCACTTTACTTCATCCTATAGACTACTGCCAGGTTCATCTTCTTAACACTACTTTGAACATGTCACTCCCCATTTTATAAACTTTCAATGGCTCCTCCATGCCTACAGAGGGGCATGCAAGGTCCTTCAGAATTTGGCTTCCAATCTACCTTTATGTTCCCCCAATGAATCACATTAATAAAGCCTTTTGCTCCAGTCCAATTTTATTCAGTTTATTCACAGTCCTCCCAAACCCCTCTACCTCCCCAGCCTCCAACAAACTTTATATCAGGGGTCGCAAACTTGCTAATAGGAGCCAGGCCAGTAAACGTACAAGTGTGAAGTTGATCATGTATGGAGAGTAAACATCCACCGAAGGGGACAATGGAATGGATAGCAATCACTTAGCTCTAGCTCACTTGCCATGCAGGAACATGGGCTCAGGATTTCCAGATCTTTAAATTTTTCAATAGTAGTAGGAAATCCAGAGTTTTCATGGAAACTTTTACATATTGATAACTAATTCAAATTTTTCTAAAACATTGCACAGGTCAAACAAAACACATCTACAGGCCTTATCCAGCATACAAGCTGCCTGTTTGCGACCTCTGCCTTCCATGTCCCTTCCCACCCTATACTTTGTCTATTCTGTCCATTTGCCTCGAAAATCTTCCCCACCTTTCTTCCAAAGTTAGATTCATCTTCTAAGACCCAGCTTAAACCCCACCTCCTCTAAAAACCCTACCTAGCCACCCCCACTTACCATCATCGCTCCCTCTGAATTCATTTAAACATTTATTAAGCATCTACTCTCTGCCAGGCACTAAAAATCACAAGGAATAATGAAAATTCTTTTCCTGGAAATTTCTTGATGTCTAGCAATTATCATCTTTATAATTTCTGTAACAGTTAATCAACACACAGTGGTGTTTCTTCTCTGACTATCTTGAAGCTGTTGCTTAAACTGACTGCTATCTAACTTTGTGGAATTTTATCTTCTCATAAACTAGATCATAAGCAGCAAAGCATTACTTTAAAAATACGGGCATTGGAGTCAAACAGCTCTTAGCTCAGATACCCATTCTACCTCTCTGTGTGACCTTGAGTAAGTCACTTAACTCCTGAGTATCAGTTTCCTCTTCTATTAAAAAAAAGGTGGGAGGCATACTATTGACCTCACAGGATTAAAGGGATTATCATACCTCAAGTGCCTGGCATGTAGTAGTTGCTCAAACTATTTCCCTTTTCCCCCTTTTTCCCCCTCCTTGGAAAAGGAATCATATCTTACATGTCTTTGTATTTCCAACAGAGTCTACGAGAGAGTAGGTGCTCAAACTGCTATTAATTTGAAGACTATGTAAACGGTCTAGTACTAAAAAAAAATGGAAAGAAGTGCTACTGAGAAAGGGAAAGACAATAACAAAGGAAGTGACAGGATTCAGTGACTTTAGATATGGAGCACATGGGATAAAAATCTGGTCTACTCCCATATCATAAAAATTGTTCTCATCAAGTGACCAATGGCCCATTACCAAATCCAGTGGACTTTTTAGTCCTTGTCTTACTTTCTGCAGATGACACTGTTGACTATTCTCTTCTCAAAAAAATTCTCTTCTCTTGGCCTCTGATAGGAGACCTATAACTGCTCCAGCAGGTCCTCTTTCACAGGTTCCTGTTCTTCTTTCTGTCCCTTAAATGTTGGAGTTCTTCAGGATTCCATCTTTGGCAACCTACTCTTTTCTCTATGTATTCTTCCCCTCCCAGGCAAGCTAATCAATTCATATTATTTTAACATTTAGATACTGATAATCCATAATTATTTATCTGTAATACAGATTTCTCTCTTCCCTTTCTGAATCATATATTGGACATCTTCATTTGCATATACTGCAAGTATCCCAAACTCAATATATCCAAATATAACATCATCTCCCCATTCTTCCCACAAAATCTATTCCTCTTTTAGTCTTCCTTAATTCAGTGATTTTAACCAGGTGACTAAGCCAAAACCTTAAGTTTCATCCTGAGTTCACGCTTTCCTGCTTCATTCCCCCCAAACATACCAGCAAGTCCTGATGACTTTACCTCTTAAATATATCCCAAATCCATTTGCTTCTCAACATATCCACTACTACTACCCTAACCCACATTAAGCCCCCATCATCTCTTACCTGGTCTACTAAAAATAGTTCCCTAATTTGTCAAACTGTTTCTTCCCTTGCCTCTCTCCAATCTATCCTCCATATTACAGATATAATGATCTCTCCACAATGCAGATTTTATTTAATCCTTCTTTAAAAAGAAAAATAATAATATGTCTCTATGCATGACTGCATATGCTCAGAAAAAATAAGGCCAGAAGGACAACCTCAAATTATTAGTGATGGTTGTCCATAGGAAGTAGGCCTGAGAATGAGGGACTTTTCACAAATACTACTTTTGTAATTAAAGTTGAAAATGAAAAATAATGAAATCTGATCATATTATTTTTCTGTTAGAAACTCTCTAAGGGTTTCCCTCCAACTTCAGTTTAAACTACCTGACTTGGCATACAGGGCACTTTATGATCTAACCCCCACTTTCTGCCTCTCTCTTCAGTCTCAGTTATCCTACAGGGCCCTCTGGCTCTCCTAGTCTTCCTGTCTTGCTATCATAAGAGCAACTGGAAAGAACCAAGAACAGAGCTTTGAAAAATCACATACACTTATGGGGCAGAAAGAAGAAATTCTTTTTTTTAAAGGGAGGGATGATTAAAGATAAAGCAATAAAACCAGGGTAATACAGCATTAAATAAAAGCCAAGAGATCAGAGAATTTTGAGAAGGTAGGAAATCTTGGAGCTGTCAACAGTGCTTGAGACTAAAATACTTCATAAGCACAATTTTTATTGACAAGTTTACTATTCCAACAAACATTTTAACAGTGCCCTAATAAATAAATACCACCATTCTGTATCCTTACTTAAAATTCCAAAACACAGTACACTCTAAGTTTAATAAAATGAAACTGGACTTTTTTCAGCAATGACAAACTAGAAAAACACTAAAACATTCAAAGTGATATAATATTTTAGAATATGTACTCTTTCACTACTTTTAAAGAAAATCAGCAATTGAACAAAACTGAACAGTAAGCAAAAATCAATATACTATACATATTTTCATTTAGTCTATAAATTTAGCAGTAGAACTCAGACCTTTCTTCCAGAAATGACAAGCTAGTTAATGATACACTAAAAGCATTAAGGTCAACATAATATTTTGAAGTATACTTTTACCAACTTGAAGAAATACAGTAATTACTAACAAAGTATTATCAATAAAGGTCCCACTTGAGATAGCCCCAAGAGCCCTGTCCCATCCACAGGAAGCTCCAGAAAAACATGTTAAATAAATGGCCTGTTTAAATGTACAGGGTTAATATAATTTGCAACATTCTGTTCATAACATTTTAATGAAGCTGCTAGATTATTTCATAACTACTGTAAGTAGCTTGACTAGCTCTGAAATTTGGGTGATAAGACTATTCACCAGACTCAGAGTAGTCATTCAACTCTGATTAGCTAAAGACAAAAATATTAACTGGACTAGAAAACAACTTCAATGAAAGGTGCAGAATTTAAAACACAAAGAGAAGTCTGCCAGAAATTGCAGCTGTAGCCTAATGAATAAAGCAGGAGCACAGACTGACATTCTAGCTCTAACACTCATGAGTTGAGTGAGCTTAACTTCAAGGTCATATTTTCTTCACCTATTAAAATGAAGTTCATATGAGAACTGAAGTAAATAGAACAGCATATAATTAAACATTAACTTTGTCTGTTCTACTGAAACCATTTGATTAAGGTCCAAGTATTAAACTTGGAAGAACAGAAAAAAATTAAAATATAGCCAATCAAAACAGGGAGGAGTCTGAACAGATAATTTCTAGAAGGAAGTCTCTTGAAGCATAATAGACCATAGGACCCTGTCCTGACCAACATTTTTGATAAATGACTTAGATGAAAACTAGATGAGATGCTTATCAAATGTAAAAATTGCACAAAGCTAGGAAAGATATTTAACATATCAGATGAGCAAATAAGTAGCTAAAATGAAAATAGGATCCAACTCCTTTTCTATGGATAAGGAAACAGGCCCAGTGAGACAGTAACTTGTTCTAGATTTCAAAGTTAACCTTTCATGGGCTAAAACAATCAAAACTGAATAATTCAATAAACAGTTATTCATATGTTCAAACTGTTAACTGCATAAGAATCAAAAGGATGATTTGTGTTTTAATAAAAATATATGTGAAAACTAATACTTTTTAGTATGACTCAGTATAATGAAAGCCACTCCACAGGAGAGTAGAGGCTAGACTGTGCTAACAGCAGTGTGACACCCAGGACAAGAGATGTACTAGTCATACTCTCCTGTGATTAGACCATGTCTTCATTTAAATCTCAGCTATAAAAAAATATAGACATATTCAAACAAGTCCCTAAAAATACTTCAAAATGATGTCAAATGAGAGAGAGGAGGAACCAGAGATTTTTAACTTAAGGAAGATAAGATTCAGGAGGCAAGGGATGGCTAGGATAGATTGAGACATTAATCATACTAAAATATTTGCAGAGGTTCAAGAGAACAGAAAGGGTACCAACTAACAGAAATAAAGGGAAATAGATCTGGGGCTTTAACTAAGAAATAACTTTCTAATCATTATAAGCTTACCCAATTATGAGAGTCTATACTATACTCTAAGCACTTTAAGAACAGAAAAGAGGTTTCTTTCTCCTTTGTATCCTAGCATCTGAAATATAGGTGTGTTTTAAAAATGTCTGTTGTTCTTGAAACCATAATGAGATACCTTTGGAAGTAGTAGGTAGCTTGTCCCTAAAAGTGTTCAAGATGCTAGTAGCCCAGATCAGGAAAAATCGAAAGCCAAGTAGGACAACGGTTTTGTTACCTAAGGCCAAGGACCAAGAATCCAAAAATTCTTGGATGCTACAAAATGAAATGGCATTATAGTCTAAAGACAGAAAGGGTCTCCCAGGAGCATAGATCTACTGAGCAGCCATGGCAGCCCAGCTAGCTTGTACTAAGAAATCAGATTTAATATTCAAACCATAAAGGGCAATGAAACATTTCTCAAGTCAAAGCTTGAATTCCAATGAGAACATCTATGTATACCCAGGAAGAGAAATAGAGTACAGATCCAGATAATCTTCCTCTGACAGCCTCCCAACCCCAGCAATTTACCTTTTAATAAGACTAGGACTAACAACTGCTTTAAAAATCATATATTTTAATGTTATGCTTGTTAATACCTATAAATTAATTTCTTTTTACATAATAACAGTTAAAAATAAATACCCTCCCCCACATAAAAATTGAAAAAACAAAAGGACCTCTATGCTTGTTGAGAAAGAACAGGATAAAAATGAAGTTGGACAAGGATATCCCATTTGGTAAGCAACCTAGAAAGAAAAGAACCTCTCCAAGAGAGCCAGCAGTAGTAACCAGAATTAGGTCACATCCTTCTGAGAAGGAATGGAAAAAAAAGGAAAAGTGCTCAAAAACAAATCTGTCAGTCTCTGTATCACCAAGTTACTGCAACCAAGTGTGTTATGCAGATTAAGATCACATGACTTTACAATAAGATAAAACATCTTACTTGTTGCACCAAGGCGACGTGTGTCTCTTGCAATATAATTTGCAAAGATAATAGACCTCATGCTGGTCTTACCCGACCCACTTTTACCCATCAACAGCACCTAAAGACAAAATGGGAAAAAAGAAAAGAAAGAAGTCAGCAATCAAGGGCAAATCAAATCTAAAGGGATCTATTTATCTCTTGAACTTGATGTTTTACTGAAGTGACAGTACACACAACCTAAAGTGGATACTTGTAATTGACTAGCTCTCTGACCAATGTGAACATGGAGGTACCTAGAATTCCAGAGACCAGTCACTTACCTGTCATAAGTCACAATTTCTCTTGGTGATAGAATCACAGTGAATTTATCATGTTATAAATATATACTATCATACATTCAGTACTACGTTAGTGAAATAAAGGAAGCTCCAATAATCTGATGAAAGGAATCAACTTAACAGGAAACTCTCATAATCTAATATTTTATGCACTGCACTATCTGTCAGGGTATTTCAGTATAAATTAAATTTCACCCTCTTCCTCAGGGTCAACCTTACCACTTCTGCCATTAATCTCATCCCTTTTACTCACCTTCATGATTTTGTTCCATTATTTACTTTTGCACTGTGCGTGTGCTCAGTTGCTCAGTTGTGTCCGACAATTTGTAACCCCATGAAGTATAGCCCAACTGAATCCTCTGCCATGGGATTTTCCAGGCAAAAATATTGGAGTGGGTTGCCATTTCCTTCTCCAGGGTATCTCCCCAACCTAGCGATCAAACCCACGTCTCCTACATTGGCAGGTGGATTTACCACTGAGACACCTGGGAAGTCCTAGATACTCTTTTATTTCTTTTCATAAGTGTCCCATTGCTTACAGGATCAAGTCATTAAACTACATATAAGACCCTCCTTGATTTGGCTTATCTACTCCTCTGCCCTTGTCTTCTGACCCTCCTAGCCTGAAACTTGTAGAGTCCAGCCACAATGAACTGAACTGCTTGTAGTTCCTTTGAATGTGTCAGGTCTCCAGGGAGCCCAGTTCTATGTCATTTTTTATGCTGAACTCTCTGCCATTAACTTTACACCCCCTTTTCTTTCTTCACCTAAGCTCCACTTATCCTTTAAGACTTGGTTCAGCAATCATCTCAAGAATTTCTCTGATTCTGGAAAACGTAGTCAAAACACTCTCTGATGTAAACCATAACAGGATCCTCTATGACCCACATCCCAAAGTAATGGAAATAAAAGCAAAAATAAACAAATGGGACCTAATTAAACTTAAAAGCTTTTGCACAACAAAGGAAACTATAAGCAAGGTGAAAAGACAGCCCTCAGAATGGGAGAAAATAATAGCAAATGAAGCAACTGACAAAGAATTAATCTCAAAAATATACAAGCAGCTCCTGCAGCTCAATTCCAGAAAAATAAGTGACCCAATCAAAAAATGGGCCAAAGAACTAAACAAACATTTCTCCAAAGAAGACATACAGATGGCTAACAAACACATGAAAAGATGCTCAACATCACTCATTATCAGAGAAATGAAAATCAAAACTACAATGAGGTACCATCTCAAGCCAGTCAGAATGGCTGCTATCAAAAAGTCTATAAACAATAAATGCTGGAGAGGGTGCAGAGAAAGAGGAACCCTCTTACACTGTTGGTGGGAATGCAAATCAGTACAACCACTATGGAGAACAGTGTGGAGATTCCTTAAAAAACTGGAAATGGAACTCCCACTGCTGGGCATACACACTGAGGAAACCAGAATTGAAAGAGACATGTGTAGCCCAATGTTCATCACAGCACTGTTTACAATAGCTAGGACATGGAAGCAACTTAGATGTCCATCAGCAGACGAATGGATAAGAAAGCTATGGTACATATACACCATGGAATATTACTCAGCTACTAAAAAGAACGCATTTGAATCAGTTCTAATGAGGTGGATGAAACTGGAGCCTATTATACAGAGCGAAGTAAGTCAGAAAGAAAAACACCAATACAGTATATTAATGCATATATATGGAATTTAGAAAGATGGTAATGATGACCCTATATGCAAGATAGCAAAAGAGACCCACATGTAAAGAACAGACTTTTAGACTCTGTGGGAGAAGGCAAGGGTGGGATGATTTGAGAGAATAACATTGAAACATGTATACTATCATATATGAAGAAGATTGCCAGTTCAGGTTCAATGCATGAGACAGGGTGCTCAGGGCTGGTGCACTGGGATGACCCAGAGGGATGGGATGAGGAGGGACGTGAGAGGGGGTTCAGGATGGGGAACACATGTACACCCATTGCTGATTCATGTGAATGTATGGCAAAAACCACCACAATATTGTAAAGTAATTAGCCTCCAATTAAAATAAATAAATAAAAAATACCCCAGGCAGAGCTCACATCTCATCACTTTACCAGCCGGGGCCCAGGTAAATGTCTGTACTTTGGGATGTCACAGAAATACATTTTTGTGCAAAGTGAAAAAAAAATAAATAAAAAATAAAATAAAATAAATAAATAAAAAATAATAATTTCTCTGATTCCAATACTCTAGGCTGGCTTAGGTATACTTCATCTCTTTTCTCCCATGACATTCTTATGATACTGCAAAGACCATAATGCATTGCAGTTATTCAATTTTTGTTTCAGTGTGTCTCACAAGACTCTGAGCTCCTGAATGGCAAGGAGAATTCCCTTTAAGTCTTCAGTGCCTAACATATATAACAGTCACTTAAAATATGTTCATCAAAAGAATGAGCAAGCCATCAAAACAAAAAGATATAAAACAAGCAAATTTTTAGCAATGAGAATCGTCCAGTGGAAACAGTGAAGGTAAGCACCTTCTAGTCAGTGACAGCATTTAACAAAGACACTTGCACTAAGAGAGAAACTAGGTGATATAACTTTTAAGAGTCTTTTCTCACTTAAAATTTATGAACTATAGTTCCAATTACTTTGATTTTCAGATAAGGGGGTACACATTTTATCTTCAATTCTAAGATATTTTATAAAAATTTATAATTACAAATATTGAGAATATTAAAAAAGTATACTACACTCAAGTTCCACTTAATCTAACTATTTAGATATATAACTTTATCTTACTAAGGAAGTGTTACTGAGGATATTGTTTAAAGTCGTTAGAAAAAAAAGTTTTATTTTTACTCTCAAGCATTTACAAATTTCTGGTATTTTTAGGCATCCTTGTTGATAGCAACTTTAGACAGGCTCATCAAGAACATTTCCTCTGCAAACTGAAGTTATATAACTGAATTATTAAATAAAGACTAAATATAGTATATTTCTTTTTTTGTTAATTGAATACTAATACACAGTATTTATCCTTGGGTTGGTCAGATCCCCTGGAGGAGAGCACAGCAACCCACTCCAGTATTCTATCCTGGAGAATACCATGCAGAGAGGAGCCTGGCCGGCTGCAGTCTATAGAGTCTCATAGAGTTGGACATGACTGAAATGACTTAGCATGCATACAAACAATATTTATGACAAAATAATTAGTTATAATAGTTTCAGGTGTATAGAACAGTGATTCATTTTTGCAGATTATATTCCACTATAGGTTATTATAAGATATTGGGTATAATTCCCCATGCTAAACAATAAATATTTTTTGCTTATCTATTTTGTATATAGTAGCTTGTATATGTTACTCTCATACCCCTAAATTGTCTCTCTCTCCTTTGTGACCAGTAGTTTGCTTTCTGTGTCTTTCTCTATTTTGTGTATAGATTCATCTGTATTAGTTTTTAGATTCCATATATAAGTGACATCATATAGCATTTGTCTTTGAGCACAATATTCTCTAGGTCCATCCATATTGCTGCAAATGGCAGTATTTCATTCTTTTTTTATGGTCTTTGGTTTTTAATTTAAGAAATCTTATTTTAATAGCTTATGAAAGACTTATCAAGGTAAACTGTATTAAGTACTAATTTAACTGCTCTATCTGCATTTGCTTATTTAAGCTTAATAACAATCTTATGAGATAGGTAACACTATTATCACCATTTTATAAATGAGGAAGCTGAAAGCCTAAAAGGGTCAGAAATTTGCTCCAGAGCTGTGCCCTTATCTATCCTTCCTAAACCCCAAGGTGGGGAACATTACCGTAAGAGCACAATTCCATTTGGAGAACTCACGTGAAACCTTATAGTGGTAACATCTGAGCTGGGTTCAACATAAATGTGCAGGCAGAGACATGTGTAGGGTGCGTGCATAGCTTGCCCAAAATGCAAATTAATCTGTAAACTTGGAGAAAAACAGATGCTGCATGGCTATGATAGGATTTAAAGGTGTGGCAGATGATTTAGTCAGGAATATAATTTTAAAGGGCATTCTATAAGATGAATCTTTTGGATTGTATTCAGTGGGCTTTGGGAAGTTACAAAAAGTTCTTTAGTATGTGTATGGGAGATTTCTATGTTAGAAAAAATTAAATCTGATAGCAAAGAAGGGGACAAGAGTCAGGGAGAACATGTAGAAGGCTCCTACAACAGTCAAGAAAAGATGGCAAATGTGACCACAAATATATTTCCTAAACAGTAATGTCTTACCTTTACTTTCATGTTTTTGATGTACCTAACACATCTTACCTTTTTCTTCATGGCTGTATTTGGTAGCACCCACCTGCAGATATAAACCAAAAGACAGAGTTTCAATGATCCAGCTGCCTTGGAAATTAGAATGAAACAATTTTTTAAAAAATGCAGAGGTGCAAAAGAGCATATTTAGCACAACAGCTAAGTACAGCTGTGTGGCAGACCTTAGTTAAACAGAGGCCATCAATTTCCTAAATTATAAAACTGTAATTACCTGCTGAGGAGATAGCTCCTACGATGTATTTAGAAATATAAATGAGTTAAAATTCAACATTCAGTTTTTTATCACCTTAAAACATTATCAAAGCAACATTTACAAATGTTTTAATAAACCAAACAATATTGTCATATTTGAATGTCTTTTTTCAAAGTCAGCATATTTTTCTAAATCTTTATTCCTTCAGCTGTCCTTCCAAGTCATATCTCACTCATCACAGACACAAAGTATGTAAATTCTCAAACTCAAGTACAAATTGGCACAGAAAGCATTCTCAAGCCACTGATCTCTGTCCAGGAAAAAACAGCTCTCTCCTCAGTCTTCTTATTCTCAACATGATGACGTCAAATCTTCTTTATGGACAATTCAAAACAATCCAGATTGCCTCCTTAGAACAATCCTCACTCCCTGGAGTGATATCACGCCTGTCCCAACAACCAGGCCTCTTGATAGCTTATCCAATCACCAAAAGCAACCTTACTGGCAAATCGAAGCAATTTATCATAGGTGGGGTATTCTAATTCACAATACTCCCTTCAGTCAGAACGTCTACGCCCCCGCCCACCCCCGCTTCCAGTTTTCAGTTAATACCCTTCACCTACCCAAGCGATCCTTCCGGTTCCCCTATGGGAGGATCCATTCTCGGCCCCAGATTCTCTTTCTCCATCTTTTTTTCAGAGTCAGATTCTTCCATCATGCAACAAGTCTTTTCCAGTCTCTTCTAAATCCGCAGTACTCTCTTTTTTTTTTCCCCTTGTTCACCCCCTCAGCCGCCTGTTCTCCTAGCCTGCGGTCCTTAGGCCTGCTCTATTCTCGCCTCCGCCTTTGTCCACCGGGGGTCCGCTTTCCGCACGGTTACCTTTACCGACTGGAACTTGGCCTCAAGGCACCGCCGAGCTGGCCAGCTCAAAGGCGAAATGATTCGGTGATGCAAAGGAAGAGATGGAGGATGAGAAGGAAAGAGGGATAGCGGGAGGTTCGTCTCAAGTTTGGGCCTCAGGACCCAAGGTCTTGAAACCCAAAGGGGACTTCACTCGCAAAGAGGTGGGGATGAGGAAGGCAGAGGTGGCAGAAAGAGCAGACCCGTGCCGTAGGCACCAGCGATGAATGCCTCGTAGGCTCCTTGTTCCTGAGCCTAACTGCTCCAGAGAGTCCGTTGGAGGCAGCGGCGACTACGACCTAACAGCCCGCCCTTCAGGAGCGCAGGTACACCACCGCAGCCACCCTACTGCAGGCCAGGATCACGTGGGCACCTGCCTTAAACCCGGAGCTTGTCACGTGACTGCCGCTTCCCTAGGGGCTAGTGGTCTGAGACGAATACCATAGAGACTGCGCGGAAAAAGACAGAATGCCGCCCGTTGCCATCACGTGGCCCGGGCTCTTACAAAGCCCAAGCTCGATAGAGCGCGACCAGCCTGAAGGGGCTTTCCTTGTGGGCCACCTGGCCCCACCTTCCGCCGAGAATTAAAGGAGCCAGTTGTAATTTTAGTGTCTCAAAGCTAGCTTTTTTTTTTTTTTTGGTAACTGTAACGTCACTCTTGACGTTTTTCAGTGATGAAAACCAAACATTTTTTTCTCCTTGTTTTTTACGTATTTGTTTTCGTGTTTTTATTACTGGTATTAACCCACCTGTATTTGTGACTGAGCTTGGAACTAATGAGTTAATACATCCAAAGTGCTTACAACTGTGTCGTCCACATACTCCTCAATAAAAGTAATTATTGCTGGGATCAGGGGTTCATCAGGAAATTTAGGACTTACACATAGCTCTCTGAAAGTAAGGGAATTATATAGGGGCATATATATACATACATATATACATACATATATATATACACACACACACACACATACACACACACACACACACACACACACACACATATATATGGGCTTACTTCCCAGGTGACTCTAGTGGTAAAGAAGATATGTCTTATGTCTCCTGCCCGTTCAGAAGACAGAAGAGACTGGAGTTTGATTCCTGGGTCAGGAAGATTCCCCTGGAGAAGGACATGGCAGCCCACTCCAGTATTCTTCCCTGGATAATCCCATGGACAGAGGAGCCTGGTGGGCTACAATCCATGGGCTGACCGACTAAACACATACAGATATAGATGTATGTATTATATATATATATAACATAATATATATATATTTATATATGTGTGTATACGTAAATATATGTAAGCCACATGTATACATTCCTTAAAAAGGAAGGAAAGAAGGACTGGAGGGAGAGTAGGAAGGACAGAACAAAGGGAAGGAAAACTGTACAGAAACAAGATACTGTTTTGCCCCAAGAGGTCTCCATTTTGTGATCCCATCTTACAACAAATGACTTGCCTCAAGAAAATTCATTTTATTCTGACTATGATTCTTTAGCTCTGTCATTGTTCAGTTGCTCAGTCATGTCCAATTCTTTGGTACACCCCCACTCCTCCATGGACTGCAGCACCCACGCTTGCCTGTCCTTCACTGTCTCCCGAAGTTGGCTCAAATTCATGTCCATTCAGTCGGTGTTGCCACCCAACCATCTCATCCCCTGTTGCCCCCTTTCCTCCTGCCCTCAATCTTTCTCAGCATCAATTATTTGGCCTGCAGTCTTGTCTATGGCCCAACTCTCACATCCATGCATGACAACTGGAAATATCATAGCTTTGACTAAAGAGACCTCTGTCAGCAAAGTGATGTTCCTACTTTTTAATATTCTGTCTGGGATTGTTATAGCTTTTCTTTCAAAGAGCAAGCATCTTTTAATTTCAAGGCTGCAGTCACCATCTGCAGTGATTTTGGAAGATGAAGAAAATAATGTCTGTCACTGTTTCTGTTATTTCCCCATCTACTTGCCATGAAGTGATGGGACCAGATGCCATGATCTTAGTTTTTTGAATCTTTAGTTTTAAGCCAGCTTTTTCACTCTCCTCTTTCACTTTCATCAAGAGACTCTTTAGTTCCTCTTTGATTTTTGCCATTAGGGTGGTGTCATCTGCATATCTGAAGTTATTGATATTTCTCCTGTCAAATTTGATGCCAGCTTGAACTTCATCTAGCTGGGCATTTTGAATGATAGTCACTGAATATAAGTTAAATAAGCAGGGAGACAATATACAGCATTGACATATTCCTTTCCCAATTTTGAACCAGGCTGTTGTTTCATGTAAGGTTTTAACTGTTGCTTCTTGTCCTGCATACAGGTTTCTCAGGAGACAGGTGGGTGTCTGGTAGCCCCATCTCTTGAAGAATTTTCCACAGATTGTTGTGATCCACACTATCAAAGGTGTTAGTGTAGCTGATGAAGCAGAAGTAGATGTTCTTCTGGAATTCCCTATCTTTTTCTGTGATCCAGCAAGTGCTGGCAATTTGGTCTCTGGTTCCTCTGCCTTTTATAAATCCTGTTTGTACATCTGGAAGTTCTCAGTCCATGCACTGTTCAAGCCTAGCTTGAAGGATTTTGAGCTTTACTTTGCTAGTGTGGGGGATGAGTGAAGTTGGGTGGTAGTTTGAACATTCTTTGGCATTGCCCTTCTTTGGGATTGGAATGAAAACTGACCTTTTCTGGTCCTGTGGCCACTGCTGATTTTTCCAAATTTGCTGGCATATTGAGTGCAGCACTTTAATGACATTATCTTTTAGGATTTGAAATAGCTCAGCTGGAAGTTCATCACCTCCACTAGCTTTGTTTTCAGCAATGGTTCCCAAGACCCACTTGAATTCACACTCCAGGATGTCTGGTTCTTGGGAGTGATCATACCATCGTGGTTATCTGGGTCATTAAGACTTTTTCTGTACAGTTCTTCTGTGTATTCTTACTACCTCTTCTTAATATCTTCTGCTTCTATTAGATCCATTCTGTTTCTGTCCTTTTTTGTGCTCGTCTTTGCATGAAATATTCCCTTGGTATCTCTAATTTTCTTGAAGAGATCTCTAGTTTTTCTCATTCTATTGTTCTCCTCTGTTTCTTTGCATTGTTCGCTTAAGAAGGCTTTCTTCCTTCTCTTTGCTACTCTTTGGAACTCTGCATTCAGATGGTTATATCCTTCCTTTTCTCCTTTGACTTTCAGTTCTCTTCTTTTCTTAGCTAGTTGTAAGGTCTCTTCAGACAACCAGCTTGCCTTTTTGCATTTCTTTTTCCTGGGGATGGCTTCAGCCACCACCTCCTGTACAATGTTATGAACCTCTGTCCATAGTTCTTCAGGCAATCTGTCTATCAGATCTAATCCCTTGACATAATCAAATCATAAGGGATTAAATTTAGGTCATACCTGAATGACCTAGCGGTTTTCCCTACTTTCTTCAATTTAAGTCTGAATTTTTCAATCAGGAATTCATGATCTGAGCCAGTCAGCTCCCTGTCTTGTTTTTGGTGACTGTATAGAGGTTTCTCCATCTTCAACTGAAAAGAATATAATCAACTGATTTTGGTATTGACCATCTAGGGATGTCCATGTGTAAATTTGTCTCTTATGCTGTTTAAAGAGGGTGTTTGCTATGACCATTGTGTTCTCTTGGCAAAACTCTGTTAGCCTTTGCCCTGCTTCATTTTGTAGTCCAAGGCCACTTGCCTGTTACTCCATGTATCTCTTGACTTCCTATTCTTGCTTTCCAGTCCTCTATGATGAAAAGGACATCTCTTTTTTTGGTGTTAGTTCTAGTAGGTCTTGTAGGTCTTCATAGAATCATTCAACTTCAGCTTCTTCGGCATTAGTGGTGGCAGCATAGACTTGGATTACCATGATATTGAATGGTTTGCCTTGGAAATGAACAGAGATCATTCTGTCCTTTTTGAGATTGCATCCAAGTACTGAATTTCAGGCTCTTTTGTTCACTACGAGGGCTACTCCATTTCTTCTAAGGGATTCTTGCCCACAATAGTAGATATAATGGCCATCTGAATTAAATTCACCCATTCATGTCCATTTTCATTCACTGATTCCTAAGATGTTGATGTTCACTTTTGCCATTCCTGTTTCTTCCAGTTTACCTTGATTCATGGACCTAACATTCCAGGTTCCTATGCAATATTGTTCTTTACAGCATCAGACTTTACTTTCACCACCAGACACATTCACGTCATTTCTGCTTTGGCTCAGCCTCTTCATTCCTCCTGGAAATATTTTATCCTTATCTCTATCACTTGCTAAATCTCCTTCCTACTTCCTACCACCTGCCCTCAAACCAGCTCCTGTTCTAATTTTCCCTGTGTGGTGAAAGACCTTGCATCCCAAACCAGGAAGTCATTTTATTATTTTTCTTCCAATTTTATTGAGATGTAACTGACACAAAGAATTGTATAAGTTCAAGGTGTACAGCATAATGATTTGACTTACATACTTCAAGGAATGGTTATCATAATAAGTTTAGTGAGAATCCCTCATCTCATATTGAGACCAAATTAAAGAAATAGAATTTTTTTTTCTTTTGATGAGAACTCAAAATTCACTTCCTTAATAGTTTTCATGTATGACAGCACTATTATATTTAGTATGTTGTACATTACATCCCTAGTACTTACTTATCATTTAACTGGAAGTTTGTACATTTTGACTGCCTACATCCAATTCCTTCTGCTCCTACTTCCTGCTTCACCTCTGGTAACCAAATCTGATCCTTTTGTTCTGAGTTTGTTTGTTTGTTTTTTTAAGGACAATTGACCTACGATACTATATTAGTTCCTGTTACATAACATAGTGATTC